CCTCCTCCTCCTCCCATTTCCTTGGATATTTCCTCCCACTCTTTAAGTAGTTCTTTCTCTAGTTCGAATTCTTTCTTATCCTTGAATCTGGATGACAATATATTTTCCCAGAGCTGTCTCCACTCATCCCATCTAAGCTTCCCTCCCCCACCCTCTGGTATTTCTTCCTCTGGGAATAGCTTCTCTTTAGCCTGGGGTATTTTTTTTTTCTTCTTGAAGATGCTTTCTGTCCCACTCTTGCTTCCATTCTTCCCAGGATATTCTTGTCTTGTCGTGGGCCTGCTTCCACTGATTCCATGAGTTCTTCCACTCCTGCCAAGACAGCATTATTTCAGCAATAATTGGTTTTTCTTTTTGTTCAGTCACTTCCTCCTCTGCTTTTGTCATTTCCTCTACTTTCTTGCTTGAATCCTCTTCTTTGGTCATTTTCCTCTCACTTGACTCCTCTTCTTCTTTGGTCATTTTCCTCTCTTTTATACCTACTTTAGTTTCTTCTTGTATTGTCTTCCTCTCTTCTGTAGATACTTTCTTAGAGCATTTCTTTTCTTCCTTCTTTGACTTTTGTTTTCTCTTACTTAGGTCACCTGGTTCTAAAAAGCTAACTTTCTTTTTCTTGCCTTTTTTGGAATTACTTCCTGCAAGCCCTGCACATCCCTTTCTTCCTTTTGCACTTGCTCTTTTTGCTCCTCTGGTATTTCTGTTTTGTCTCTAATAACCATATCCTTTCTAATTGCTTCTTCATAGATAAAAGTTGGTTTCTCCTCTGGCCACACTGCATCCCAGGCAAGGTCTTCAAGCATATCCTTGCTTTCTTTCTTCAACAAGGGGCAGATCTCCCGAAAGAGCTCCCAGCTGGGTTGCCGATCTGCCAGAATCTCCTGAGCCATAGTCACCAACTCAGTGTTTAGATCTTCTGACATTTTTGTTTGGGATCCGGATAGCCTCAGGGTCGTAAGACTACATAGAGCCTCTCTCCATAAGGCACCATGTCCAGCCCTTTGGCCAGGCATTCCAGCAGCATCCCGCCCCTGAGCTTTAATTACTTTCTTTACTGGTTCTTCTATTATAGTTGGCAAAGCTTCCCCAACTAAAACTTTTTCTTCTTTTCTTTTCTTGTGCTTCTTTATGGGTTTCTGTGCTGCAGCTTTCTTGACTCTTGTGTCATGAATTTTCTTTAGCACCTTGAGAGTCAGAGCAATGTCATCCTTTGAAACATCTGTCTCTGAAAATTCAACATCTTGAAAGCCCTTTAAACTACTGACAGAAGACCTTGTGTGGAAGGTTGTGTCCTCCATCTCAAGTGGTGCAGTTTCACTCTGATCAGTTTCAGCTTCTATGGGGCCTGGCTCTGTGCTCATCTGTTTAGAGTCTCCTTCTTTCATCTTTCTGAGACCTCGCAACAATTTTCGGGCTGCAGAGTAAATCAGGAGATGGAGGTCAGGAAAGTATGGAAGGTTAGCTCTTCTCAAATGTAGTGTGAACTAAGGGAACTGCTGTGAAAGAAGTAGCAACAGAGAGTGCTGTGCCCCTGCCTTTTTAAAGAAAGCATTGATGATGAATCTAATCATTATTACTAATGTGTCCTGATAAAACTTTTAAAAGTAACAAAAAAATCTCCTTTCTGTATTCCCCGTGCTCCTCCCTCAACAACCTTTGGAATCTTCAAAATTTGGGTAGATCCTTCCTTGGACAATTTTCTGCTATGATGAGATCTTCCACTTATCTCTCTTCCCCTCGGTATCTCTTGACCCGCTTTAGTCCTGACTACTCTACTTCTTGGGGACCCTGAGGCATGGATCAGGTCATTCCATACATACTATGTTTTCTGCCCCCTGCTCGACCTCGTCTTTGGCCTTTGCTGTGCTTGACTTCAACTTCTTCAGTGGCAGGTTGTATGGAAGGGGACCTAGATACAGAAGCCCTTGAGACATATAAAGAAAAATGAGGCTTCTTATCTTCTTTTGACAAGGTCAAATTTTCATTCAGTCGCTGCTGCACTTGAGTGAAAAGGATTTGGAGATCTGTGGGCCGCATCCCCAGCAGGCGGTCCAGGGATTCCTCCCCAACCATCTGTTGCCTATGAAGGTGAAAGAAGAAGAAAAACTGTGTTGAATCCGGGACAGGAGAGAGAATGGGAAGAAAAGAACTGCTGTAGAATAGGCAGGAAGTTTGGTAAAGAGGCCAAGAGGAACAGCATAGATTGAGGTAAATGACAACCAAGAAGAAAGAAAAAAAATCTAAGAAGCCAAGATGGCAATTGTTTTCATCTGCAAGCCTTCTCACAGAACAAGGTTCAGGAACTCAGACTGGGAGGGTAAGGTACAGAATCACCAAGCATACTCCAGGGAGGTTTCTGGAATGCTCTCCACTTTAATAAGTTCAGCCAGCAATTATAAAGTTTTGAAAGAGGGAGTGGCAAAGGAGGAGTAATACATTTGGCTTAGCAGGATTGGTTATTGGAGTGTGCTGGGATGGGCTATGGAGGCATCCAACTAGGGGGTATGGGCGAGGCCATAGCTGGACATAGAAAAGGCTCAACACACAAGCTAGGCCTCTACTAGTGTGCTAGGAGACATACGAGCAGTGTACTTGTCCCAGCCAGACTTGTACCTCACAGACAAGCAATGACTGGAGGGATTTGTATGGGAGCTGCAGAGTAGCAGGAAACAATGGAAAGTGGAACTTGAAGAAGACAAGGGATGGATAGGAAATAGCAAAGAAATGGAGAAAAAGGTGATCAGAGAGGGGATCATCAAAGATAGTCTAGGAATTGAAAAAAAAAAAAAAAGCTATGAAGCCAGGTATGCACCTGTAATTCTAGCTGCTTGGGAAGTTGAGGCAGGAGGATCACAAATTTGACCCTAAGCTGGGTAGTATAGCAACATCCCATTGCAAAAAGAAAAAAGAAATGGATTATGGAAGAAGAATGTTTCAGGAAGTCTAATGAACAGAGATGAAAAGATCATGAAGAAAGAGAATGGAAAAAAGGGAGAAGAAAATTAGCAGGTGGAACAGAATTGAGGAAAGCACAGACAACTTACTGGAGTTCCTGGAAAGTCTCTTGTCTCTGGATCAAGTTTAAGAGTGAGGTCCTAGAGTGGATTCCAATCTCAGGCATGATGGTGAGGGCCTTATTCCTCACTCTTTCGTCCTTATCCATTAGCCCTTGGGTCAGAGGCAAGGCGAAGAGATGAGTGACCATTCCTAGACGCTTCAGCCCTTCCCAGGCTAGCTCTCGGATCAGTGGGTTAGCATTGGTTGTATCATCCAGCAGACGATGGGCTGTCTCAGAGCGGAGGGAGGGCAACACCTGGTAAGAGGCAAAGATCTGCCCTAGTGCACCAATACAGCACTGGAACTTCATTGGGGAAGCATGGATCATAATATTGAGGATTGTCTTGATTAGGCTACTAATAGCTATTTCACTCATTTTTCTTCCCAGCCAACTACGGTTAGCTGCATCTATAAGGACATTGTAGGTTCCATCCTTGGACTTTCTCAATGCTAGAAAGCTTTCGTCCTTCTCTTCATATTCTTGTGCTTCACTTAAATTTCTTACCCTACTGTGCCAGAAGAAGAAGGGCTGAGATGTTGCCCAGTTCAGTTCCCGCTGAGGTGAGTGCAGGTTGCACTGTAGGTGTATCGGGCTGCCCTCTGGCCAAAGACGGGCACGAATTACTGAGTTGGGGATGTAGCAATCGGGGGCAAGGGTCCATTCCCGCCCATAGCCAAAGTAGCATCTCAATATCTCATAAGGGTTGAGTCCATCCCAGTAAGTCAGTTGTAACTGAGGAGGAACCACGTAACGGTGATGGGGAGGTTTGTTCATCTGCATCCAGTCCATTGCCACCCTTTCCTCATGTTTGCAGGAGCCAGTAACACAGGGCTCCCATCCTCATCTTCTATGACATGTGGCACAGAATGGTCAAAGGCAATGGCCCGCTTATTGACAAGGCTCTGCAGACCCACAAATTCCTGTTTCCCTTGACCAGCGTAGATATACTTGGGCAAAAACATGGTCTCAAAAGAGAGGAAGAAGCTTGGTATGAAAGGCTTAGGGGCTTCCAGCACTTCGTCTGTTATGCTCCTTAGGGGAAGGAGAGAAAGCAGGGTAGGGGGAAGCAGTTTTAAACAGGATACCAGATAAAGACCCTGGTTGAAAGTCACAAGCAGGTCACCCCGGTCATTTGCAAAGCAGACTGGACCAAAGTGCAGTGATGAGTCCAGCATGGCTATGAGTCTACCATGGAAGTCCCAGATCCGGACGGAGCCATCACTACCAGCTGTGACGAAAAGACTCAAGGACAAGCAGACGTCAAAGGATGTGATGGTGCACTGGTGCAGAGGCAGTGTCTCTATGAATTTTGAGCCTCCCTGTGACTCATAGGACATAACATCATGGAACTTCCAGAGACGCAGGCAGTTAGAGTCTGTGATGGCACCCACAGCGTTGGGCAAGAGTACCAGTTGTTTTAGGTGACAGCTGCTGAGAATGCTCGAGAGAGGCTGCAATTGTACTTTGGTTCCATCAAGCACAGCTTCTGATAAGTGTATATAGTCATCCATTCCATAGGAACACAGTAAAGAGTTTTCTTGGCCACTCAGGAGCCCTGCAGACAGTGTAGAGAGTGCCAGTACAGCCCCAAAGTGTACGAATTTCTCTATTCGGGCACAGCTATGCTGAGAAAGCACTCTTATTATACCACTCTGGTGCCCAGAGAATATCAGCCCTTCTATCCCTCGCCCCAGGTGGAAATGCCCATAAGCCAGGCAGTATACAAAGTCCTGAGAATTTGGTGAGGTGCATAAAAGATACTTGGCCGGGCAAGGACAACGGGTTGTGTCTAACACCAGCACATCTGTGCTGCCTGTTGCCACAAACAGCTCCTCTTTGCCTGGATGATAGGCCCAATCCACAGCCTGGTCCAGGATTGAGAAGGGCCAGGTGAGGAGCAGAAGCGCCCCTGTTATTGGGGACACAAAGCGCAACAGGCCATCTTCTGTGATGCACAGGATTCTGTACCAGTTTTCACCACGGCAGACCCGATGCACGTGCTGGGGAGCAGATCCACAGACATGGAAGAGGTTATAGAAGCAGGGCAGAGAGTGCAAGGAAAACGTATAAGTAGTTTGGCAGAAGAAGATAGTGTCATCGATAAACTGGAGGCGGTACAGCTCCTCACCAAGTTCTAGTCGCCGAAGCAGGTTCCCTGAGGTAAGGTTCCACTCCTTCATTAAGCCTTCCTTGCCAGCTGTTAGCAGGGTGTTGGCCTCTGACCGGCTGCGGATACATACCACTAATGCGGAGTGGGCCTTGAAACTGTGGAGGGCCTTGTTGTGACTGAGGTTCCACACCTGGATCTCCCCGGCCTTGTTTCCAGCATAGAGAAAACCCTGATCCAAACTGGTGAAGCAGCAGGTGATAGAGGAGCCACTGCAGGTGGACGTGAACTTCTTCACCTCTCCCAGCCTGCCCTGGCCCTGACGCTCAAGGGCTCTCACCACAGTCTCACAAAGGGCTAGGAGGGAGCCGTTGGGGCCATTCAGCATGATGTGCTGGACAAGCTCATTTCCAGGCATGGAAAACATGTGAGCTATTTGGAGGCCTTTGCCACTTTGATCAATGACCCAGGTGACCACTGACCCCCTGATGCCAGACAGAAGCATCTTCATTTCTGGGTCATAGCAGAGGCAGGTGACGTTGAAGCGGCAGGGCACTGTGCCCAGGGGTTTGAATGCCCGGAAGTGGTCCCCAAAGAGGCGCAGGAGCATGTCACCACAGTAGACCACGAGGATATGAAACGAACCCGTGTGGACCATTGACTGGATGGGTGGCAGCCGCTCAGTCATGAGGAACGTTCTCTTCTCAACCATGTCCTCAGATCTGCTCTTCATCCACACTATAGCCTGGAAGAGAATAAGGTAGAAACTGCCCAGAAAAGATAGTAGAGGAGGAAAGCTTTGGCCAACTCTTCAGCTATTTTCCCCTGTTCTTTTGTTAAGGGAGAACTGGAGGACTACAGTGATTTTGCCCTCTAGTGATGGAACTTGGAACTGGGGTAGAGGCGGAAAGCGTCGGACCCTTTTTTAAATCTCAGCCTACTTTAATGGGACTCAAGCGTGCTCAATATGGAAACAGTAACCAGGGAAAGTATGGTGGGAGGCTTCCTGGATCCAGGTCACATTCATTCATGGGGTGCGTATTCCTTTGTCAGTTTGGTTTGAGAGCTGTGTGGGTTTGGTCCGTGGAAAGTGGGCTAGGAAGGGAAAGAAAGTCTTGTATTTCTTTTGAGTGGGGCGTCACCCAGGACAGGGAGGCGAAGAAGTAGGCATCACAGAAGTAATGGCAGATGAGTGGCATATTTTGAGGATAGCGAGATTCTTTGAACAGTATCTTGGACCTGTCACTCAGCACAACAGTATCATTCTTTGAGTCATCTGAAGAGTCCTGGAGAGAGGCATAGCATAAACTTAAGAGGCCAGGGCACACGTGCACTAAATATATTCTCTCACAAAATTCATGATTGAAGCAATTCCCAAAATCACACCTCCCACCCCTTCTACCTCCTGTTTATGCCCACACATTGACAGCTTACCACAATGAGATCCCTGCACTTGTAACAAATCTCCCAACACATGAGGGACCAGAACCCTTAGGCCATGTATGGACAGATGGACAGATTTTATTAGTGGGGTTATAGGGGGAAATTATATTCTTTAGTATACTTTTTTTTTTTTTTTTTTTTTTTTTGTACCAGGGATCAAACTCAGGACCTTGCACTTGTAAGGCAGGTGGTGGCACCACTGAGCTAAATCCCTGGCCCTGAGAATGATATTCTTTTCAAAGTGACATTAGCCACACCTCCCCTCTAATAATTCTTCCTTGTGACTAAAAGACAGAGCATTTAACAGATTACCCAAGCAAGTATATCACCTTAACAGGATCTCCCAAAAGTCAGCTGTAAGTTATTAAAGCTTAAAACTTCACAAGTAAAACATTAGGACACCCTGTCTGGCCTTCAAGTTTGAGAGGAACAGTGCATACACAATACGTATTAGCTGTAGTTCTAGAACGTGCGCTGTGCAAGACGCACCACGGATCCATTTGCACAGAGTCATCGTAGCAAAATGGAGGTTGGCTTCTTTCTGCTGCCTTCTCCTTTCTCTGTTAGGAAATCTTTCTTTCCAGAGCATTGGTTCCTCCAACAATGCTTCTGAGTGTTCATCTACTATAAATTGTCTTTGTATAAAGCCTATAGTCTTATTTGGAAATGGGTGGTCCACTTTCTTGCAGAGTGACAACTATCTTGATTGATAGACAATCTATGGCTCTTCCAAAGTGCTCATTACTGTAAGACAGAGGCCAACCAATGGCATATTCATACTTTACCTTGTTTTCATGTATGATGTCATTTATGAGGTATTTAAAATCCTTCCAGGTGGGAACGAGTCTCGTGGAAGACATCACCTTGATTTTCCTCGGGTCCTCCTCAGGACCGTTGCTTAAACACCTGTGGGAATCCAAAAGACGCTTGCTTAACTACTTAACTTTTTGACCTAGGAATCATGAACTCATGTTTACTGAACACCTTGTGCATGCCAGGAATTACAAGATAGACCTTCTCATTTAGTCCTTACTATGGCCCTGTAATGTAGGTATTTCCCTGCTTTACAGATGAGAAAAATGAAGCTTAGGGGAAATAAAGGACTGGGGAGTTGAATCTTAGCATTTTCTACCTAGGATATTATGGTGAGGGAAACAGAAACTTAGAGAGGGATGAGAAAAGAATACCTTGATGGGCAAACAACATTTTGTGAGGAGTAGGAGGCTTTCAGAGTGTGGTCCCTGGACCTCCTACCCCGAGATTATTAGGGAGGGGGTGCATCTTCAAATGCCAAGTCCTGGGCCCTATGCTAGACCTCCATGGAGATGGGATGCAGTAACTTGCAATGAATTCCCTAGGGCATAGGTGATTCTATCGGCATTAAAAGTTACTGAAATGGGAAGCACACAGAGAAAAGGGGAACCTGGGACTACTAGCCCCACCTGGTACACCCGCCACCTGCTGCCAGTGTGTGCCATGCAGCAGCCTGCCTGAAAAAATATGAATTTTTAAAGTTCGTTTATTTTTCCTTCTCAACAACTTTATAATGTATTTTAATATTTATTTCATAATGTCTTGTTTTTAAATATTCCTGCTATCATTATTATTATTATTATTATTATTTACTATTTTTTTTGTACTGGGAATTGAACTCGGGACCTTGCACTTGCGAGGCAGGTGGTGGAACCACTGAGCTAAATCCCCGGCCCAACTGCTATCCTTATTATTCCCATTGTTTTTATTGCTGATTTGTCAAAGTTGTAAACTAATGTTCCATTTTTATGTCAAAATCAAAAGTATTTAAGTGCTAGTTCTATTTAAAGTGGTTATGGAACCAGCTGGACACACAAAACAGATTGTATAGCAGGCTGGACCTGGGAGGTTAGGTTCATTTTGTTACACATCACAACGAGAGAGAGAGAGAGAGAGAGAGAGAGAGAGAGGATCCAGCCTGTGGTATTTTGTTGTTGTTGTTGTTGTTTTGGTTTTGAGACAGTCTCACTATGTAGTTCAGGCTGGCTTTGAACTCACTATGTAGCCCAGGCTGACTTAGAACTCGCAGTGATCCTCCTGCTTCAGCCTTCCCAATGCTGGGATTATAGACATTCACCAGCACACCCAGCCCAGTCTGTGGTCTTGTGGGGTTCCCCAGACTTGTAGGAGCAGATGATTTTCTTAAAGAAGATAATCTGCCGTTCATTGTCTACTTCCTCGTTCTGTTCTCTTTGGTTATCATGAAGACAAACTACTTTTCCTGGTTTGATTACAAGTAAATCTTATAACAGTCTCCTTCTATCAAGTGTGTGCCATTAGTGGTGCCACAATGGGTTTGTTTTTCCTCATTTATGAATTGAAAATGCCAATCATCCCTGCACTACTGAACAATTGCAAAGATCAAATAGGACAATTCATGCGAAAACCCTTTTAAGGATACCCTGAAACAGCAAACAATGATGCTTATTGGTTTTAGGCTACTGGTGACCACTCTATTTCCATTATTTCCCTGCTTTGCTCTTTTTGGTTTCTTTGGAAACATGACAGCTAAATTTATAGTTTGGCCAGCAGAGGGCAACAAAAGCCAACCTTGCTGTCGGATGGGCCCAGGGTGTTGGTTCCCTGGGTTGGCAGCATCAGCATGGCCTGGGAATTTAGAAATGCGGATTATTGTCCAAACCCTACAGCTTTTGAATTGGAAGCTGAGGACAGGACCCATCCATTTTTTTTCTGGTATTGGGCATTGAGCCCAAGGCCTTTGCATTGAGCTACATACCCAGCACTACCACCACCGCCCATTTTTGAGACTGGGTCTCACTAAGTTGCTAATGTTGCCCAGGCTGGGCCTGAACTTGGGATCCTTCTGCCACAGCCTCCCAGAATGCTAGGATTTCAGGTGTGTGCCACCCCACCCAGCTGATAACCCGGGCTTCACCATGCTCTTCAGCTGATCTTATACACCCTGAAGTGTAAGGCTGCAGGCTCAGAGCTGTTGGAGTCCTCAGTCGGTACGGCCTGGGTCTCCTAAAGCAAAGAGAGCAGAAGCCACCCTCTGCTGTCGCTGAGCCTATACTCTATGTTGCCACAGAGACTTGATGGCTAGATGGGGGGAAGCAGCAGGCAAAACTTATCTGGCATGTGTAGAGGGGGTTGGCACCCACAGAAGAGCTTCCACATTAGTTATGTCCCTCGTACTTGAAAGAACCCTGAGAGGGAGATATCGTCTTCCTTGTGCGAGGAACATGAAGTCTGAGAAGAAAAGGAGGCTAAAGAGGGCAGATTCAACCCACAGTTCTGGATTCTGTATCTTTGGAGGAAGACATTCTGCTGGCTGATACTAAGGAAGCCTGTGGTCCCCAAATCCACTTACAGCAAAAAGTGGGGCGGGTGTCTGACATCAGCATTCCCTGTCTCCCTCCATTCCCAGGCCGCACACTATGCTCCTGCATTATCTTTTTCATTTTCTTCCCCTTTCATCCTGCACTTGCTGCTCATTTGGACCCCTCTCAGGGGCCAGTGGGATCTGCTTCGAATCCCGCACATCAGTGGGTGGCCGTGTGGGCCAGTTCCACAGCTCAGCTTTACTCCCCTGGCTCCTCCTGAGGCTCCAGAGCTCTGAGAGTCATCACTGTAGCAAATTTATAGTCAGTGCCAACAATTCCTGTTCTTCTCAGTATCCCCACTGGGTCCCGCTTCTCTTCACCAGCCTACAAAAACAAGAAGCGGAGCTGGGGAATTAGCTCAGTGGCACCGCACCTGCCTTGCAAGTGCAAGCTCCTGAGTTCGATTCCCAGTACCAAAAACAGAAACAGCACATGGTTGGGACCCTTCAGGGAAACATTGCTAGGGGATGAATGAAGAGGGTTTGTTTTGCTACCCTCTCCCCCACCTTGCAGACCAGTTCCCTTGGAGGAAGCCTCTCTCCCAATATCTCCACATTCCACTACCTGATCCTATTACCTGTCTTTAAAAGCAAGTTTGGAGTGAACTCCAGATGCCTTAATCCCAATGGTTTTGGCTGTTTAATATGAGAGTAATCTAACAATAGTCCAAAGGGAGAATTCAAGTGGTCCATTTAGGGGGAAGATAGGTTGTGAAGGAAAGCAGATGTCCCACCCTGCCTTTAGGGTGGAAATAATTCAGTTGGCTTTAGGGGGAACCGCTCCACTACTGATGGGGGGGTGTCCCTCTGGGTCCCTCACTAGGCTCTGTTGTCTAGGCTATGAGAGAATGCATTGCTCCCTATCAGGGAAAGCAGACATCAGAGCAGTCATTACAAATGACAACCATGGAAAGTTCTCAGTGATGGGTTATTATTCTTTGAACTTCTCTGCAACTTTAATTTTGGGTGTTTGTGTTTTCTGATGTTGAGGAGTAAACCCAGAGCCTTCACAATGAACTACAGCCTCAGGTTTTTATTATCTATTTATTTATTTTGGTACTGAGGATCAAACTGAGGACCTTATGCTTGTGAGGCAGGCAGCAGCACCACTGAGCTAAATCCCCCGGCCTACCTTTTATTTTTTGAGACAGGGTCTTGCTAAGTTGCCCAGGCTGGCCTCAAGCTGGGGATCCTCCTGCCTCAGCCTCCCAGAGTGCACCACTATGCTTGGCTTTTAAATTTTTTTAATTTTAATTTTTGGGGGATTATGTTTCACTGAGATTCCTAGACTGGTGTTAAACTTGTGAGGTCAGGTGATCTGCCCACCTTAGCTCCCTGATTAGCTGGGACTATATAGGTATGAACTACTGTGTCTATCTTTAAAGATTAAGCTGTGGGCCAGGGATTTAGCTCAGCGGTTCTGCCACCTGCCTTGCAAGTACAAGGACCCGAGTTCAATCCCCGGTACAAAAGAAACAAAAAGATTAAGTTGTAAGAAGAAAAATACTATGCAAAGTACTATGAGTACATATAATGAGACCTGAGTAGCCCAAAGAGTGAGGTGTGCTCTATACTTTGAGGTGGGGCACTGCATGGATTACACAGCTTTACAAGTAGGTCTCACATTTGGGGACGGGGGTGGGAGGTGGGGGGTGGAGAAAGTCCAGCTGTCATCAGAAGAATCTGATTAATTGACTGAAAAGCCAAGGGCACTGGGTGTGGTGGTGCATGGCTGGGCAATTTAGTGACTTAGAAAGACCCTGTTTCAAAATAAAAATTTTAAAATGGGCTGGACTCCATCTCCAGTAAAAAAAAAAAAGAGAGAGAAATAGAAGAAGAAAAGAAAGAAAAAGTCAGAGAGGCAACCTTGGCTTATTTAGTTTCTTTGACTTTTACTGATTAGGACCCAAAGTTTGGCTCTGGGGCCTGGGAGTGCTACTGTGGTCTTTAGCTACACAGTTAGGGCTGGGACTGGAATTCACTTACCATTCTTTATGGAAAGAAACAGTTTTCTAGCCTGACAAATACATACACATTAACAAAGTAGGCTAGTTTCTGTTGGGGTGAAGAGTTATTCTGGAGCTCTGGGAGAAATGATAGCATCCATAACTGACAAGGCTGTGCAGTGGTTACCAGCCACTCTACACGTACTGTTTTGTTTACTAATTATGGAGATTCTGTGATTTAGCTTACCCACCTCTTAAATAACTTAAAAATGGACATGGTTAAAATATTTAAGAGAAAAGAAAGTCAAATTTTTACACTTTACAACCTGTTGTTTCCCCTTCCAGGTAACACTGGTTGTGTCTTTCCTGCATATTTCTTAAGGTGTTCGGTACATATATGTAAGAGATAGTTCTCCATTCTCTCTCCTTCCCTCTCACCCACCCCCCACACCACTAGAGACTGAATGCAGGGGCACTCTACCACGGAAATACATCCCTGGCTCTTTAAAAAATTTTTGAGACAATGTTTCACTAAGTGGGACTTCAACTTGCAGCCTTCCTGCCTCACTCTCCCAAGGTGCTGAGATTAAGGTGTGAGCCATTATGTCTGGCTACATTTCTTTCTAGAGATTAACTCACTTTAACAATATAGCTCTGCTCTATTTTCCAGCATTTGCCAGCTTCAGCATATTTTGTGTAGCTGAACTGTTATTTGTCCAAATTTTGGGAGATCGGGCAGTTTCCAACCTTTTACTACTATTATGACCCATGATACAAATAAACACCTTTGTTGGAGCCTCATAGAGTTGTAATTTAAATTGTAAAACTAAGCAACAAAAATATATTTCCATTCAGTATAACTTGGAATAGCATTTTGGATATATTTGGGCTAAACAAGTTATTAAAATGAATTTCACCTGTTTTATGTAAATTTAAAATTGCATATGCAGCTTGCATTATATTTCTGTTAGTACTGCTTGAAATTGTCACTGCTCGTGGCCTGATATCCCTATTGGACCAAGAACCTCCTGAGGGTAGCTCTTTGGAGCCTCCATCTGTCTGGGTTTCTCCTGTATCCCCTGTAATCGCCCAACCTGACATGGCGCAGGTGTTTAAGACATCTCTGTTGAATAAGTGGGCAAATGAATGACCCTCTGCCCTCTCCCAGAAGAAATAGATGCTTCCCAGCTTCAGGTTGTACTGAGCATCTTCCTCAAAGTAGGCTGAGGCAGAAAGGTAGCGATAGGGCTTCTTGAAAAGAAGACTGTGCAATTCCAGTCAATTCCCTCAATAACCCTTATAGAGTAAGAGTGGCACTATCATTTAAAAAGGTAAGGTTGTGAGTCCGATTTTGCCAGCAGGTGGGCTAAATTTGGACAAGCACTACTTTCACGATGTGCTACCAGTGAATGAAAGACCAGGCCTTCAGAGCAGTCCCTGGGTCGTGGGCCCGAGGCTGCCGGCGCAGGCAGAGCTCTGGAGCCGCCAAGGCAGGTAAGAGATGACTATATAGACCCAGGTCCCCGCGTGGGCAGAAGGGCAGCGGTGTCCGTCTCTTTAAAGCAGGAACCTCGCCTGTTACCTGCGACGGGGCTCCGGACAAGGGGCGGCACGGCGTGTTTGGTGACACCCAGGAACTCCTAGGTAGGCGAACAGACCTAGAGAGCGCTTGGGAGAGCTATCTCGCCGATGCTGAGCAAGGAGGCGGCAGACAGCGCGGGGAGCTGCGCAACCGAGCGCTCAGCGGACTAACCATAGTGACGGGAGTGGGCGCGCGTACGTACTGGCGCTCCAGCCGCTAGAACCTACCCAAATCAGTGCGCACGTTCGAATGTTTTGTTTTGAAGTCCTGTGGGGGCCGAGACAAATTGGCCTTTATTCAGGGCGACGTGGGCGAGTACGCACCAACGCCCTTCTCCATTGTCCCTTCCGAAGCAGACCTTCCCTTCTCCCGCCAGTCTTGAGGCTCGCGTCCCCAGAGTGAGTGAAGGGAGGAAGCACTTAGGGCTGTGAGAAAGGCGAAACCGCGCCCAGCAGGGTGAGGAGCGCGGTTTCCGTGCTGGAGTGGGCACAAAAAATGCTTCTGTTTCTCACGCCCCTGAGGAGACTGCGATTGTAGTCTGGAGACTGGAGCTGTGAGGAGGAAACTAGAGAACTACTATTCCCAGAGTGCAGTGCGGTGGTGCGCCTACGGCTTCCGGCAGCCCTCGCGCGCCAAGCTCTTTTGAGCTCACAACCTGTTAGGATGAAACTACAGTTCCCATGAGGCCTCGCAAAAAGGGGTTTGGACGGGGTAATCTTGAAGTTACTCGAGCCACTGGAGCTGGCGGTGACCAGCGATGTTGTGGTCCAGGGTCCTGCAGGGCGAGCGGCTAGGACGCCCAGTTACGTGGCTTCAGGTGTGTAAGGAAAGTTAAAACTTTAAGTTGGAAAGGCTTGGGTTAAGGTTTTCGGCTCCCTAAGGCGCCTAACCACTAGTTCACCTCTTCTTTCCCTGGGTACCTGGCCAGTTCCCTGGGAAAAAAGAGGGAGGACTTTGTTATAAAGACCAGATGTTCTTAACATCAAGATAAGGAATGTGATACATTCCATCCCTGCCGGATCTCTGGCCAGGACCCGGTTGGGACGTGACTGCAAGCACATTCACTTTTTTCCACGCCAAAAGTACAGGTAGTTTACTACCTTTGTCTAGAGAGCTATATCAACAGCCTGCCTAGCCCAGGCTGCTGCTGCTGTCTTACGCCCGGGATTGAGACGTGTAGCCGAAGGGACTGCTGAAAAGACCCGTGCTGTGTTGCGAGTGATGGACATAAGTCCTCCAACATTCCGGTGTTGTTGCCAGAGAGCCTAAAGGTAATTTCCCGGATAGAGCCCCTCTTGCTGTTAGAGGACTCCCCTTTTTCTTTGTTCTGCTTCAATAAACTTTCCCTTTTGTACTTATTTAAGGCTGGTGGACGTTCTTTTAGCGGATCGAGCCAAATTAATTAGGAGACCGTGCACGGCAAAGGACAATAAATAAAATTTGTCCTTACAAGGTGTCTGGGAATCGGTGGCTGCTGGGATCTCGAGCGTCCCTGCGGGCGTGTGACCTGGTGTGGGCACGGGCTGTAAGGGGTGGCTACCCCGGGACTTACGCCCTGCAGACCCGGCAGGACTCTTGCCTGCGTGCCTCAATTTTTCAGACGTGCAACTCGGAGCTGTTTGTGGGGACCAGTTTGGAGTAGGAGAGCAGTAGGTGCAAGTCCCGGCTCTGCAGTTTGGGAACTGTGGTCTAGGGAAACCGCGCGGAACTACACAGTTTTCTCTTATGTAAAAAGGGGAAGGAGAATGTTTTTTGTTGGGAATTCTGTGGCGATATTGAGATCCGTCGAATAAAGCATTTCCCACATAGAAGGTACTTACTACATGTTTGTATAATTGTTAGCTCTTGGAGAAATGAGGTGAAGATATTACATAGAGTGATGGTTAGTTGAACTGAGTCCTTGGTTAGCACTTAGAGCAGGGTAGCTTCTGTTAATCATTTTGTTAAAAGATTCACCATTTACCAGACCTATGACCTTGGGCAGTTGACTTCACCTCTTCGCCTTGGTTTCCTTATCTATAAAACTGACACTTAAGCAGTAGCCACTTTATAGAATTTTGAAGATGCAATGAGAATGTAAAGTGCCTAAGCACAGTAGTAGCAAATATCTCTTAGTAAATGGTATTTATTCAGCACTTTGCCAATGGCCCAGAAACCTTCTGAGAGAGAGACCCTAAATGTAGTAATGGTCTTCAAGCCAGCCAAACTCAAAACTGGTCTGGTGGGCTTTACTCCTGCAGTCTCAGGTTCCATAAATATGAAAGTTGTGAACATTTACTGAGTTCACAGTCTTAGTCTGAGCCATCCATCACTAAGCAGCAGCCCCTACGTATTATAGTTGTTCTTTAGTACTCTCCCTCTAACCCAGAGCCTGTCCATCTATGGGCTGTGACATGACAGCTCTAAGCTCCTCTACACATTTGCTCCCAGCCTCAGTGTCCCATCTGTGAAATGGTAGTCACAGGACTTGTATGCCAGCATTGTTCTGGTGACTGCAGGAGATAATTCATGTTTAGTGTTTATACAGAGCCCATTGTATATTAAATGTTTGATAAATGTATCTTTCTTTTCTGTTATCCCCTCCTTTTATAGGCCCCTCTGTTTCTGTTTATGCCCATAGCAATGGGGAGACAAGGTTGGTGCCTCTTACCCACCCTCCCCAAAGTTTTCTTGGCAAAAGTTGAATTGTAGAAGATAATTGAAGTATAAAGGCCTGAAAAGAGTTGATGCTTCAGCAGCACCCTGTGTACAGCCTCCCCCTAAAAGTCCCAAAGCTCTAATGCTTTATTATTTTTTATATATTTATTTGGGGGGGTTGCTGGGGATGAAATCCAGGGCCTTGTGCATGCTAAGAGTGCTATTTACCACTGAGCTGCACTCTTAGCCCTGGTGCTTTAAAATTATTGTCCCAGTGTGGCCAGCTCTTAACTGCCTCACAGCCATACTACCCTTGAGCTCTAGCTCCAGACACGGAGCCTGTGTTTCCTTAATGTCCCTTGGTGGTCATTCTTGGGGACTGTAAACACAACACATCCAACTTTATCTCTTCCTCCTCCTGACCTAGTAGTCACCATCTTGGCAAATGGGCCAGCATTTATACAGTCAACCAAAACAGAAACTTGAGAGTTGCTCTTCTCCATCCTTCTTATAGCCAGCTGATTGGCGAGGATGGAGCCTCCATGTTACAAAAATACCATTTCATTGGCCCATATTGGTCTCTTATCTGATGAGCACTGGATATTCCTCCAAACCCTGGAGATGCTCTTTTCTGACAGGGTCAAGCTGTTAAAACCACCAATGATTAACATAGGTAAATATGTAACGTACATGTTAATCAGGGGTAGAGGATACAATATGGACCTGGCTAGATTGCAGTGGCTCAGATGTGGCAAGAAGACCTGGGTTTCAGGAGACTCACTGCTGTGGTTTTAGCCTGGTGAAGTGAGCTGAGTTGTTAATTTCTTTCTGAAAAATTATACTCTGTCATCTCTGGAAATAAGACAGTGACTTCCTTTTCTTTTTTTCTTTTTTTTTTTTTTTTGGTACCCGGTATCGAACTCTGGTCCTGGTCCCTGCGCTTGCAAAGCAGGCGGTGGAACCACTGAGCTAAATCTCTGGCCCCAAGACAGTGGCTTAAAAAACAAAACAAAACACAAAAAACCTTGATATCCATTGTTAGTAACAGCACATGTTTGTTTTTTAGCAGTCTGTAAAATGGCATGAATTAAATGTGAGCCTGTTTCTTGACAATGCAATTATTAGATGGTAATTCAGAAATGGAATTTAGAATGTTCAGTGATTGGTGCACATTTTGCCAATATATTTCTTTGGTTTAGTAACTTGCAAAATATAAATTAGATGTACTTACATTTTAACAAAGGAATCCAACAGTCATTTCTTTTCAAGCAGTGTTTTTAGCTCTTAAGGCTAATTATAAACCAAACAGAAACACACATATGCCCATACAACCACTACTGCACAAATGTTTTTCACAGTATTATACATTAGAGTCAAAAGGTGGGAAAAACTGAAATGTTCATCAACTGATAAAAGGATAAAATGAGTATTAAATTAAAAGGATAAAATGAGTTAAATAAAAACAAGAAAGATATTTGGAAATGGGCTGGAGGAAAAGCAGATGCATGAATTGGGACAGGAAGTCATTAGGTAAATGGATAGATTACAATTAGACAATTTAGAAGAAGGAAAGCAGAGTCTGTTCTGTAAAAACAGAAATGTACATGATATAGTTTGCACAAGGTCTGGGATTTGATCTCCAACACTGAAAAAAATAAAGTATTTGACAGAACAAAATTACTGCTACAGAAGGAATCGGTGACACACAGGTGGCAGATTGGAAGTAAAATGAAAAAAAGGATTTATTTGTCCACAAAGATCGATCCACATAAAACTGTGTCCAGATCGATCTCCTACTGGGCCACAATTCCTTCTTTTATAGGGTTTTACAGCCTTGCTCTCATTCAGGTGGTTACATTTCACTTTTACAGTTCAAATTGCTGATATTCAAAACATGGTCACAAGGCAGTTGCCTTTCTTTGTTAGGGGAGATTACCTTTAAAATTAATATACCTATTGTAGCAGGGGGGTGGGGGGGTGTCTGGTCAGCAAAGTTAACAATGGTTCTTTTCATTTACAAAACTTTTGAGTGAGACTAGATGCCTCTGGTGCCAATTGATTCTGAACTAAACAAAGCAAACTTGGCAGAAATTATTTTACATTGCTATTAAAGTGTTCTGTATCACTACAAACTAACTTTGAGTTGGCCATTAAATAGAAATGCTCCCTTCTGCTTCAGAAGCCTTATCTTTAAAAACTACAAGGACAAAAAAAGGATTCATGATCTTGAACTGGCTAAATAACATTATCCACCACCAGCAAGCCCCATCATGCACAATATATCCAGATGTAAGAGAGAAACTAAAAACCTGCTGACTCTTCCTTGTATCAGAAAACAGTATCATCAGTGCCTAGAGTTCACAGCAGTTTTTAGGGGAGCACAGCTCAGGAAATCAGGAAATGCTGGTGGTTCTGAAATGTGTAAATTGCCTCCAAAGTACAGCCAAGGGGTTTTCTTACAGAAAGGAATCCTGGGCTGGGGATTTCGCTCAGTGGTTCCATTGCCTGCCTTGCCAGCACAAGGTCCTGAGTTTGATCTCCTATACCAAAAAGAAAAAAAGAAAAGAAAATCTTTATTTTATTCAGAAAATTGGTGAAAAAAATATCACTGATTTTATGTTTTTGGAAAACTCTGTAACATGTGGTTTAAAGCAAGACAGATTCTTTCGTTTGCTTTTCATTCAGTTGATCCCCGGTACCAATGTGAATGTACCAATAAATAAATAAGTATCTTTCTACTTTTAACCTCTGTTGTTCCTAGGACTCATTCTTCAATTTATAGAGAATAAGAACTCGGCATATCATACATTTAACAGGTTGGGAGATATAATATTTCATATTTCACCTCGTTATTTCCTGTAACATTATCGCAAAGGGAAAGCTGTTTTTTTAAATGAAAATGCAAATTTAATCTTATCTATAGACTGGCAACTTGAAATTTTGTGGAAATAATTATTAATACTTCTTTGTAGATGATTATAGCTTTATTTTTCTTTCTCACTTAAATATCTACTGCACGTTGTTCAACTGGATTTCTAAAAAGAATTTAGCTTTCATTGTATTTAGAAACATAATAGGAAGCCATCATTCTTTATCAATGACCATCCCATTGTATTACTGCGGAAACACAACATAACCTCCATACATCTTTAAAGTCTTTCTTTCTTTTCTCTTTTTTTGTACCAGGGATCGAACTCAGGTCCTTGCACTTGCGAGGCAGGCGGTAGAACCACTGAGCTATATCCCCGGCTAAAGTCTTTGTATAGTGAAGAGTAACTGATGTTCATGTTCCCAGAAAAGTTAATACCACAGACATACTGCGTATCTGTAACTGTACATATATGTGCATTATAAAGAATGGTTTTCTTTTATCCCCAGAACAAATTTTGGTCACTCTCATGGCCATATCACTCCACCAAAGATGCATGGATTAGGCAAAGTGTTCTTAGACATTACACCAATAACACAACTTATCAAAGAAATAAAATGATAACTTAATCATCACCAAAAGTTTAAATTCTGCTCCTAAAAGGCAATATAAAAATCTTACACCTGGTCCTGGCAGAATGTCTCTTGCAAAAAACTGCAGCAAGAAGCAGCAGCCTGAAACCTGTCAAAGAAACTGAATTTGTTACAAAAGAAAAAAGAAAACACTGCAGGCCTACATAGTTTTACCAGAAAATTCTACCTTTAAGGTAGGTAGAGAATTTTACATTTCAGGAAGAAATAATACCAATTTTCTACAAACTTTCCAAGAAAATAGAGAAGACAGTTCACAGTGTTTTAGGAGGTCAGTATTACCCTAATACCAAAGGATGTTGAGAATCTTTCAAGAAAAAAAAAAAATCACACCAAAAGCCTCATGCAAAAAGCTCTTTTAAAATGTTAGCAAATCTGATCTGGAAATACATAAAAGAGCAATATAAATGACCTATTAACGTAAGATATACTTATTCAAAAATTAATTTTATTCATATTGAACAACAAAATCATGATCACGTTCCTATGTTCAGAAAATGTATCTGACAAAACACAATATCCCTCTATGACCAAAAACTCTCAGCAGGTTCAGAATATAATTTGCCAATTTGATAGACTTTCTATGAAAACCTCCAACTAAATATAATGAGGAAATACTGAATATTGTCCTCCTATGATAAAAACAAAAGGCAATGGAAGCTAGACAGGAGGGTACATACCTATAATCCCAGCACTCTGGGAGACAGGACAGGAGGATCACAGTTCTGGCCCAACCTGTGCAACTTGGTGAGACTCTGTTTCAAGCTAATTTTTATTTTTATTTTTTTGGTACCAGGATCGAACTTAGGACCTTGGGCTTGCAAGGCAGATGCAGTGCCACTGAGCTACATCCCCAGCCCTCAAGATAATTTTTTTTAAAGAGCTGGGGATGTAGCTCAATGTGAAAGTCCTGGGTTCAATCCCTAATACCCACCCCATAGCAACAATGTCCATCTATTAACACTACTTTCATTCAACACTGTATTGGGATTTCCAATAGTTACAATAAGGTAATAACAAACAAATGAATATAGACACTGACAAATTAGAAGAAAATCTCCTGTTTTTTACAAGTAACATACTTACAAAATCCTAAAAGAATCTACTGAAAAATGCTAGAATTTTTAACTAAATTTAGCAAAGTTGCTGGATATGAGGTTATTATGTAATAGCTGACCAATAATTCTTATATAGCATAGGAACTAATTTAGGTATTGTAGGCCAAGAAGCAAAATCAAGGATAGGAGTTTATTTAATGAGAGCAAATTTCTACAATTTTTATTGACAAAATCCCAAACTTACTAAAACCAACCAATCATCTACTTTGCTATTTTTCTACTCATGCCTTAGAAGTTCTCAAGTATCAGATATGTAACTCTACTTCAACACTGGTCTCCTCAACAAGTCATCACGTAAAGATCCATTTCTATGAGAATGTTTAAACAAAAAGAGTATGGGGAAAATGAATGTACTGCAACATGGTTATATAAAAATTAACTCTAGAAAGGATGTTGGATGCTATACTGGAAAAGATACATCTTCATATAGTATCATTAACTGGGAAAAGAAGACCTAGAGACCAAGTAAATAGCCACTATTTGTCTGGACATTTCAAATGAAGTTATTCTACATCCTAAAAAATGAGAGGACATTTTATAAAGAAAAAGTCAAAATGACCTCTAGCTTGGCTTTAAGATTCACAAATGCAATCAATGCTTTTTTCCTCTCAGAACGCTTCTCTGGGAATACTGCAAAGTGTGGAGATAAAGAGGAATCGTGCAACCAGATGTGGTGGCATACACACACCTGTAATCTTAGCACTTGGAAAACTGCTGAAAGTTTGAGGCCAGCCTGGGCTACATCATGAGGTCAAGATCAGCCTGAACTACATAGTGAGACCCTGTCTAAAAAGGGGGGAGGGTCATGAAATAGTCTTTCTTGGAGGCAAGCTAAATACACTATCTTCACCACAATCATCCTCCATCACCCAGATTAAATATACCCAGATGGAAATATGAGACCGGAATACCATTGACCCTTCCTGTATCATAAATAAAAGTCAGGTTTACTAAACCCTGGCACTGACATCAGTTTCTGTGTCCACACAGTTTCTTATAGGCAGAGCTGTGAAAATACTGTGGATCTGCAACATGCAAATTGCCCCCACAGAGCTTCTAAAAGGGATGACTGGAGCAAGGAATCCTACTCTTACAGCCTCAATATCCAGTCTCCCCAGGACTCTGCCTTGGGGCAACTGCAGCTCCAATTTTCACTACCAAACATAAGGTTATGCTTATTTAGTTAGGACTTTTCATTTTAGGTCTCAACGATCTAACATCCTCTTACAAAGCCATTTGGAAATGCTGTACAGTGTGGCTATAAGGAAAAATGACAGGGGCAATCAAAGAAATCTCAGTGCAACAAATTCTGAGAAACCATGGAATTTACAATTGGCCAGGGGATCTGCTATACTGTATGTCTACTGTGTTCTAAGCATTAGGTTGGTCAACAGCTAAAAGTGCACCGAGAGGCCGTGCGAGAGAGGCCGTGCGTAGAACAGAAGCTTCAGTCTTCCACACTCATGTGGGAATCCTGTCCACATAATCTTCAGATCTAGCATTGCCAAAATGAAATTCTACCCTCAAAAACACAACAAACAAAAAACTACACTAAACCAGGCGTGGCGGCACACACCTAAAATCGCACTGAGGAAGGTTGAGGTAGTAAGAGCACAAGGAGTCACAACTGAGCGAATTAGCAAGCGCCCCCCCCCCCCGCGCCCAATATAAAAGTCGAAAAAGCTAGGGATGTAGCTCAGGTGTAGAACTCCCCTGGGTGGTTCGATCTCTAGTACTGGGGAAAAAACAAAACAAACCCAAAACAACCTACACTGGACGAATTACCATCACGGTGTCATTTCGTCATATCTCACAGTTACCGCTAAACACAGTCCTGCAAAGGTTCCCGTCCCCTGCCAAAGCAGTCAGGCCCACGCACATGTCAACAATTACACCTAACAGTGACTCGGTCACGCAATCGCAACGCCCTCCTCAGCACCTCATCCACGCTCGGGAACTCTTCTCGTACCCGGAGGCGGGACACCACTGACCATTCAGAAAACGCTGACCTAAACCCCGGAAAAAATGAGCCCAAACTGCAGGCCTGGGGGTCCTGGAGAAACGTACTCGAAGCAGGAGCCGCGAGGACTGTCCTAGGACTGAGGAAAGACAGGAGCGAGGATCGCGCGTCTCCTAACGGGCTGCCGCGGAGACTCCTGGGAGCCGGAGCCCACCGCGCGAGAGCGCAGGCGCAGATGACAGCCCAGTCGGGGTTTGAGGCTGGCGGTTAGGGGCTCTGAGAAGCCTGAAGAGTCAACTAGGAGCTCCGGCCGGAGAGTGCAGCCCGCACGAACAGAACCGGGTGGGGAGGCCCGGGAGGAAGCCGGGAAATCAGAGCTGGGCCTGCTAATTCCGGGAAGGGACCTAGGACTGCGGTTTCCAGACGTTCCGATGTGTTACAAGCTGGGCCTCGGGCGTGGTCCGGGGCGTAACCCTGAGGATGCTCACCTGTGACTTGGAGCGAACCCTGCGAAAGGAGATTTTGCCTGTTTGATCGCGAGAATCACTGTCGCAGGGGTAGGAGGAGAGAAGGGGGCGGGTCCCCTGCATACAGCGGCCACTGCATATATATAGATAGACAGACATTCCTGTGCCAGCCCACTGTGTTTTGGGTGAGTGCTTCTCTTTAGGATGTGGCATCCGATTGTGTGACGGTCCTGTTGCTGCGTGGTTTCCGCTGCATCTGTTTTTGTTTGTTTGTTTGAAATTGAACTCAGGACCTTTTCACGGTACTGTATACCCAGCCCTTTAATTTTTTTTTTTTTTTTAATTCCGAATCAGGGTCTGGCTAAGTCACTAAATTGCCCATGCACAGCTCAAACTTGGCGATTTCCCCGAGTCTCCGAGAGTGCTGGAATTACAGGTGTGCCCAGCTTGCATCTGTTTTTAGATTAGATGTGCATCGTTTTTGAAGCGTATATGGAGAAATGAAAGTGATTTGTGAATGTGACTGTGACTGCCTGGAATTGTATAATGTGCTATATATAGTAGTTTTGAATGACAACTGGGAACTATGGATTGGTGACTTTCTGAAGGATCTTTGATTAGGACTGTGCATGCATTTATATCATAATGCTATTTCTGATGGTTTGTGGCCATGGGAACCTAAATACTTAAGTGATTGAGGAACTCTGTATAACCACATCTAATTGTGTATTATTTGACAATCTGAATACCCATTAAGCCTGCCTCCAAAAATTTAACTGGATAGCAGTTTAGCAAATAAAGCCATAGTCTAGTGTGGTGGCACACATCTGTAACCACAGTGCTTTTGGAGCCTGAGGCAGACGCAGTATCTACTGAAGTTGAATATCACAGCTTCAAGCCCAGCCTAAGCAATTTAGGGATTGAGATTCTGTCTCAAAATAAAAAATAAAAATAAAGGCTAAGGTTAGCCGGACATGGTGGGACATACGTGTAATCCCAGCACTGAGGATGCTGAAGCAGGAGGATCATCTCAAATTAAAGGCCAGCCTGAACTGTACAGCTAGACCCTGTCTTAAGAAACCAACCAACCAACAAGTAAATGAATAAGGCTGGGGATATAGCTCTGTGGGAAGGCCCTGAATTCAATCCCCAGTGCCACAGTAAGTAAATAATAGAGATATAAATATTGGAAAGGAATAGGTGAGATTTTCATTATTCCCAGATGGTGAGAAACTTCATATTAAGTAAAATGAATATGTTGAATAGTATCCCATGGGGAACATGCAGAAAATAACCAGTAAATTTTTACCCATAATTATCACTTTCTGTTCTATGTAAGTGAATTTTCCCACTCCCAGATAAAATCAGTGACAAGGGCAATAGCTTCTTCACGCTTTTTTTTAACTTTACTATTTGTATTTTTATTTTTTTAATTAAGTTTATTGGTACATTTTAGGTATACAATACGGTTATATACATCATTAGGATCTTGTACCTTTTTACATGATGTATCTTGGTTCTTATTTTTCCCTATTCCCCTCCCCTCCCTTCACCCACCCACCCTTCCCTGTATACAAAGACTTTCTATGTTTTTCCTTTCCTCATTTTTTTCTTTTCCTTTCTTTCCTTTCCCCTACCCCTCTCACTTCCCCTACTACTTTAGACCTTTTCTTCCTATTTCACAATATCATTTATACATTTTGATCCTTATTTACACTGTTAGTTTTCCACACCAGAGAAACTATTCCGTATTTCACTGAAGAGTAAGGCCTCAATGTGCATCCACTTAGCTATAAATATCTCTAGTTTCTCATTCTTTATGGCTGAGTAGTACTCCATTTTGTAAAAAATAAAAAACCCACATTTGCTTCATTCAGTCTCTAGTTGATGGGCAATTGGGCTGTTTCCAAGTTTTAGCTATTATAAACTGTGCCACTATAAACATAGGTGTGCATATATTACTGTGGTAGATTCTTTTAATTCTTCTGGGAAGATACCCAGCAGAGGAATAGCTGAGTCAAATGGGACTTCCAATCCTAGTTGTTTGGGGTATCTCCATACTGATTTCCATAGTGGTTGCACCACTCTGCACTCCCCCCAATAATGAAGAAGGCTTCCTATCTCCCCACAACCTCACCAGCATTTGTTATTGGTTGATTTTCTTCAGGCATTGTAAGATGTACAAGTATTTGGTACATTTTTAATTGCAAGTTCAGTCTCATTTTAATAAAGTACTTATTTTGATAACTAAATATTCACTGTAGCAGTGAATGTAGCAGTATATCAGACTTCATTTAGCAAAATATTATCCCTTGTTTCTGGAAACCTACAAAATTGATCAGTTCCTTTTCTGTTTCCTTTCCCCAGCATCACAAAGAAAACAAAGAAAAACAAAAGATAACATGAACTTGTTAGTAAATAAAAACTCATGAGAAAAGCAGTATAAAGAGATGCTGTTACTGAAAATAAATACAGAACATCTTTAATATTTTCTCAATACTGGGGACTGAACTTAGTGCCAAGCTACAACCCCAGCAGCCCTTTTTATATTTTCTTTTTTTCAAGTTGCCCAGGAGACTTCAAATTTGCAGTTCTCCTGCCTCAGTCTCTTGAGTAGCTGGGATTACAGGTGTGTGCTGCTACGCCATCATGTGCTATCTTCTTTAAACATTTTAAAAGAATAAGATATGAATACTTTAGAGCTGCCATATTGACCTGAGAGGCAAAGATGCAAAGTTCTCAACTGATTTTGTCAGCATATTCTCATGTACTGCTGGTGACAATATAAGTTAATAGACCATGAAGAAAAATTTGGAAATATACAATAAAGCTGTGACCTGTGGAAAAACAAGCTACAACATTTGTCCCAGAATCCATTCTATCTGAGCAATAGACTAGGCATCAGGTGGTGATGAGAGCAAGATTTGTCGATTGTCCCACTAACTTCTGTCCTGGATTTCTGAAGTGTACACAGGAAAAGCAAGTCCTGAAACAATGAAAATTGTGCAGATTTAACTAAGTTATTCTGAGACACCTAAGCCAAATAATGTTCTCACATGGTTCATATCTATCTTTGTCTTTTTTAGGACTCTTCCCTTTTCCAAAAGAAGAGATCAAAAGAGAAGGTCCATCTCTTACAAAACTTGAAGCCATGTCTAAGGTGAGATGTTTGCTCTCTCCCCCTCTCTCTCTCTCTTTCTCTCTCTCTCTCTCTCTCTCTCTCTCTCTTTTCCAGGGAATACAAACATTTGCCTGGTGATGTTGCTTAAATTTCCTCGTTACTGGGATTTACTTTCATAAAACAGTCTCTGGTCAGGGCTCAGATTGGAGTAAAGCAGACAAGTGACAGGAGGTACAGTATGTAAGGGCTGTTCCTTCCTAACTTTGGCACCTTAATTGTTTAACCTGCCTTAACCTGTCTACAGCCCTGTTCTCAGTTTCTCCATCTCAACCAGATAAACTTAAGCCTTCTACTCATAATCATTGTTCACATATTGATTGGGTGTATTTATCATCTCCTTTCTCAGTCTTCTCACCAGTGGACAACTGGAACAAAATATTTTCTTGATTTAAATGGAAACACATTATTTGAATGAATCTACCTTTTCTTCGCACTGATTTAAAATTTTGCTAGGTGTGGTGGCACATGCCTGTAATCCCAGCACTGGGTAGGCTGAGGCAGGAGGATCACTGCAAGTGCAAGGCCAGCCTGTGCTTGATAGTTGAAAGGCAGCCTGAACTACACAGTAAGACCTTGTCTAAAAAATGTAAATAAATAAATAAATAAAATCTGAGTTGTGAATAGTCAAAGAATACACATAGAAAAACCTTGTTCATCTCCACTAATTTAAATTTTGCAAAATATAGTGGGAGATGGTATGTGTAAATCACATTATTACTTTGTGGGAAGATGTCCTATTTTGTGATATTTGGGGGATAGAGATTTGATTGTGGTCTTTTACAGAAAACTGAGGTTTTGTGTTCTTCCTCTTTGATCCTTCTATTTGATCCATTACTGCCACAGTTCCTACAAATCATGGGCTGCCAGTGAAAACCTTTCTAGTATTCCAACACTCTTATAAGTTTACTATTATTCTTTTTTTTGGAGACAGGGTCTCACTATGTAGTTGAGACTGACCTAGAACTCACTATGTAGACCAGGCTGCTCTTGCACTCACAGCGATCCTCCTGCCTCAGCCTCCCAAGTGCTGGGATTACAGGCATGCGCCGCCATGCCTGGCAAAGTTTATTATTCTTATCTTTTAAGTTTCTTCTCTCTCTTGTTTGTGTGTTTGTTTATTTGTTTTGGTGGTGCTGAGGCGCTGGGTACTAAGGCCTTCACACTGAGCTACGTGCCCAGCCCTTTTTATTTTGAGACAGGGTATCACTAAGCTGCCCCAGCACCATTCTTCTGCCCCTGCCACCCAAAGTGCTTAGATTATATAGTAGTTCTTTGCCGCCATGCCTAGATTTCTTCTGATTTCGTGTGTTTAGGAGGAGAAGCATATGCTAGTCTACTCTTTGCTGAAGGTGGTACTTTCTCCTGTTGTCCTGTTTCTTTCAGAAAATTCCTCATCTCCCAATCTTTAACATAATGGCTTCCCCATCCACTAATTGGTTCTCTTCTCCACTCCTTTTTATCTATACAACCAGATTCACTGTACAACAAGATTCACTGTGAAGACTACATCTCTGTAGTGACTCTATCCAGTTCTTGACAGGTGTCAGAACCATATATTCAACATCCAGTAGTTAGCACAACCTATATGTTCTATAGACACTTCAATTATATTCCAGGGTTTACTGTGTTACCTCTTTTGGTCCAGCTTATTCTTTCTTCTATTTCCCATTTCCATTTCCTAGTCCCAGCACCCATACACTTGCCTATGCAAATAAACTAAGTTCTGTCTCTCTTTTTTCACTATATATCAACTTCTGACTAATTTTTGTCACACCTCATGTAAGAACCAGTTATTCTCTGTTAACCCATTAAATTCAAAATCACTAATACTCATAATATTCTTAACTGTCTTTTTTTGGTACTGGGGATCGAACTCAGGACTCTGTTTGTGAGGCAGGCATGGTGTCACTGAGCTAAATGCCCAGCTCTCTTAAGTGTCTTTTTTACCTAACACACCTTGCGCTTTCTCCAGTCTGTAAGAGTATTGCCTTTAAAGTACAAATGTTATCACATAACATGTGTTTGACTTACGTTTCTTCATGTTCTTTATAGTCTTTAAGAAGTAGACCCAAAGAGGGCCATGTATCACAGTGAACTGTACAAGACAATATATTGGCAGGGGAAAAAATACTAAGTTTCCATTCAAGAGTAGTAATCATGGAAGCCAGGCATAGTGGCACTCGTCTGTAATCCTAGCACTCTGGGAGGCTGAAGCAGGAGGATAGCAAGTTCCAGCCTACCTTGGGCAACTTAGTGATTTAGTGAGACCCTGTCTCAAAATAGAAAATAAAAAGGGTTAGGAATGTAGCTCAATGAAAAGGCCGTGGATTCAATTCTCAATTCCCAGTACAGTTTATAATAATAATAATACAGTAATCATTAACAATGTAAGTTGCCATTAACACCTACTGATGATTTGTAAATATGTTGGAAATGTGCTAAGTTCGTTTTTAAAATAGTGCTTTGAAGGAAAACAATGCAGTATTATTCTATCATATGCCACTGCCTACCTTCCTATACCTTTTCCTTTTTAGAGCTCAAAAGCTTTCCTACAGTACTGTGCCTTTTGCTATTTCCTGAAATTGCTAACTGGTTTTCTTCTCCCCATGAATTTTTAAAGCTGATGTCCTGTATTCCTTCATAACAAATTTATTGTGAGTACAAAACTTTTATGTCCTCAATGAAACCTCAGAATACGAAATGAAATATTTCTTTGTGACACTTTCTCCTGGTACATACATCATTACATCTGTAATACCTATTGAGTCCATCTATTTTCATTTATGCCTCTTTCTTAGCCTGTAACTTCTCATGAGCAGGATCAGTATTTTATTAATCTTTGTCACCAGATAACCAGTCACATCCAGACAGATACTGTGATATCAGTATATATATATTTTTAGCATGAGAGTAAGTAAATACTGATGAATGCATTTGTGTAGAGAGAAACTTTTATAAAACACAATATAAGAAAACTAGTCTGACCTGTCATGTAAAGGTACAAGATCCCAATAATGAATGTAACTGTACTGTATTACCTAAAATGTACCAATAAACTCAATGAGGGAAAAAAAGAAAAAGAAAAGGAAACTAGTCTGACCACTTAACATTGTCAGAACTAGGTCTCCAGTGTCTAGCTCTCACCCATTTCCGGTCACTTCAGGATGAACTAGAGTATGCCCTTACAGGGATCAGTGTCGTTGAAGGATGTGACTGTGGACTTCACTGAGGAAGAGTGGCAGCGACTGGACACAGCTCAGAAGGCCCTCTACATGGATGTGATGTTGGAAAACTATTGCCACTTCATCTCTATGGGTGAGGGAACACTAAATCTTTCATGTGTGTCTCCTTTTAAGAATCTCTGAAAAAGAAGAAGCTTTGAAGTTCAGTGATCACTTTATTAACAACATATGCTTCATTTGCATAATACAAAGTATTAACTTTGGTAGTAAATTAATGTGTATCTTATCTGCCACCTTGAAGCTGAATCTTTCTCTTCTTTTTAGTTTGAAGTATAAACAGCTTAGACCAAGTTTCATTTTTCATTATCAGGGTTTCACATAACTAAGCCTCATATGATCTACAAGTTGGAACAAGGAGAACATCTATGGACAGAGAGAATTTTTCCACGTCAGAGCTACCCGAGTAAGTCTGTACAAATAAATATGCAGTGGACATTAAATCTGAGCTGGTTTATAATAATAATAATAAAAAAAAAAATAGATCCCTTCAGTCTGGTGCAGTGGTGCACCATATACCATGGAAGGCTGAGGCAGAAAGATCACAAGTTTGAGCCCAGCCTGGACAACTTAGCAAGATCCTGTATCATAATTTTAAAAATAAAAAAGTGTCTGGGCATATACTACGATATGAAGAGCCTAGGTGGTAAAAAGAAAAAGAAAAGAAAAGATCTTTTCAAAGGTGTTTTTAGGAATCTATAATTTTAAATTGTGGTAAAATGTATGTAACATAAAATTCGCCACTTTTTTTAGTTTTATTTGAGACAGGATCTTTTTTCTGGTACCGGGGATCAAACTCTGGACCTTGCGTTTGCAAAGCAAGCAGTGGCACTACTGAGTTAAATACCCAGCCTGGGACAGGGTCTTATTTTATAATTCAGGCTGGCTTTGAACTCACTGTGTAGCCCAGTCTGGCCTCAAACTTGAAGTGATCCTCCTGTCTCAGCCTCCTGAGTGCTGGGATTACAGGTGTGGGCCAATACCCTCAGCTAAAATTTGCCATTTAAAAAAATTTTAGGCATATATTTCAGTGTCATTAAGTACATTGACAGCATTTTCCAACCATCACTACTAGTCCTTCTCTAGGACTCTTCATCTTGCAAAACCAAAACACTGTACTATTTAAGCAGTAAATTTCCATTACCCATATTTCCTAGCCCCTGAAAATGACCATTCTACTTTCTGTCTCTGTAAATTTTACTACTTTAAGTACTTCTTATAAGTGGAATCATTTAGTGATTGTACTTTTTTTGACTGGCTTTCTTCACGTAACGTAATATCCTCAGAGTTCCTTCATGTTGTAGCATATGTCAGTTTCCTTCCGTTTTAAGGCTAGTTTGTACTCCATTGTACATATATACATTTTGCTTATTCATCATCATTGATTATGTGGGTTCCTTCCATCTTGGCTGTCATGAACAATGCTGCTACATGAGTTCACAGATATCACTGAGTCTCTGTTTTCTTTTAGGTATGTACCCAGTAGTACAATTGCTGAATCATATAGGAATTCTGTTTAATTTTTATGGAGTTATCATACTGTTTTCCATATTGTTGCACCATTTTATATTACCACCTTAGTGCACGAGGGTTCCAATTGCTGCCTATTTTCACTAACACTTGTTATTTTTTAGGATTGTGTTTTGTTTTGTTACTGTTTTTCACTACTGGAGACTGAACTCAGGGCCTCACTCATGCTAGGCAAGCACTGTGTTACATCCCTAATTCTTTTTGAGATTTTACTCTGAGACAAGGTCTCACTAAGCTTCCCAGGCTGGCCTTGAACTTGCAGTCCTCCTACTTCAGCTTCCCAAATAGCTGGGATTATAGGCATGTGCCACAGTGCCCAGAATTTCCTAGGTTTTTGTTTTGTGGTTGAGCTTGAACCTAGGGCCTTTGCACTGACCTACATCCCTAGCCCTTTTAAATTTTTAAATTTTAAGACAAGAGTCTTGCTAAATTTCTAAGTTACCCATTGAGCTTGAACTTTCACTTCTCTTCTTCAGCCAGCCTCCTAAACTGCTGGGATTACAAGCATGAACCACCCTACCACCCTGCCCACTGGGTTTTTTTATAGTAGTCATCCTAATACCGATCTTTTTTAAAGGCTGAGATCTGTGAAGTACCTGTACATGGCTGCCTTTCATACTCCTGAAATCTTAAATTTTAGTTTTGAGTATTACTTCCCATTTAAATCTTTTCTTTTGCCTTGTCTCTAGAAATATTGGCTACCTTACCAAGAATCCATTCCAGGCTTTTTAGGTATAATGTACATGGAGATCTTAAAGGTAAAGTCCTTTGAGTTCTGACAGAACTAGAAAACCATGTATCTTAAGGATATTTCCATTGACCCATTAAATTCTATAGGCCTCATCCATGTCAGATCTCTTCCTCTAGGATAATCATAGTTGTGATTTTTACCAGCACATATGTTTTGTTTATTTTGACTTCCTTTTTTTATTCAGATTAATGTCTAAGAGATTTATATATTTTTGCATGTGTACCTAGTTTGTTATTTTAATTGTAATATAATATTCAATTGTACAAATATACTATTTTATTTATGTATCTCCTGTAATAGAAACTGAGATGTTTCCTGTTTGGGACTATTGTGAATAAACCTGCTGTAAACATTCTTATAAAAATCTTTTTGTGTACATATGTGTTTATTTCTCCTTAGTAAACACCTAGCAGTGATATTGCTGATTTAGAAAACAGGTATATGTTTAATTTTTTTAAAAAAACTGCCAGTTTTTAAGTTACTGTGTCACTTTAGACTTTCACTAGCAATGTATGAGAATTTCGATTGCCCCACTTTCTCTTCTTCATTTAACATTATCAATATTTTCATTTTGGTCATTCTGATAGTATATCTTTGCAGTTTAATTTAGATTTCTCTTATTACTGATGATATTAATACTTTTCAAGTGTTTTTGACATTGGAAGTGTTTGTTCAAGTGTTTTTTTTAAATTTCTTTGGTAATTAGTATATATTTTTCATTGAATAATGGGAATTCTTTATATATTTTACATAGGACTCTTTTGTTCATTGTACACATTGCAAATATTTCCCCTAATATGTAACTTTTGTATTCATTTTTGTGCTCTTTCATAAGCATAAGTTTTTAGCTTTGATGAAATCTGGGTAATTTTTTTCTTTTATAATTAGTTCTTTGACCTCACAAATATTTATCTGTACTAGACTGTGATTTTAGTTTCCTGTATTTTCTTGTAAGCATTTTGTGTATATTTTGTTTTTATCATTAGTTCTATGGTCCATCTGTTGCTACGTTTTATTTATAATGTGAGATACAATTAAGGATGAATTTTCATCCTGGACAAAACTGGATATCAGTTTGTTCCATCACCGTTTGTTAATTTGATGATCATACAGAAGATTACTTGATCATATTCATGTCAGTTTGTTTAAGGATTCTGTAGTCTTCTTTGTTGATTCATTTTAAGTCTTAGTGCCAATATTACCTGGTCTGTGATTGTTATAAATTTATAATGAGTCTTGGGGTCAGCTACAGTAAGTCCTCCAACTGTATTTCTTTTGGTTATTGTAGGTAACTTCCTTTTCAAATACTTTTTTTTTTTTTTTTTTTTTTTTTTTCG